GTATAGGACCCTGGCAAAGCACCAATGCACGAGAACCCAGAACTCACTAGAACAGGTTTACTGTTTTGGGTTGGGGTCTGGACAGGGTGGGGGATAGCCCTTCATCAGAGCTAAACAAACAAAAAATATCCGAGACTCCTATGTTGAATGGTTTTTGAGTTATATTTATTTTTGCATGTCTAGACACCCCCTTCGCAGATGGAGCCCCCCACCTCAAATATGGGGTCTTTTGTAAAACCATCTTCATTCCTGCCAAATTTTATGTTGATCGGTACAGCCCTTTCCATGATACGGTTGAKCAGAAATCATCAATAATTTTTCTTAAATAAAAAAATAAAAAAACTGTACAGAAACAATATGACTCCCGCTTCATGTGCAGGGATCATAATACTCTGTGTGTTACCTCTCCAGCTTCATTATGGTACCAATGTAAAAGTATTACTACTATCCCGTTCAAATGGTTTGTCCTGTTTCTCCTCGTCCAAATTTAAAAAAAAATTGTGTAGCTCTGTCAGAAATAATGGGCCTCATGCAACAACATTTTTGGTATCCTAAATTTCTCTTACTTTTGTTCATATGAAGAGTTTGTACGAACATGTCACGTCAGATTCCGCAAACACTTCTATCTTCAGGAAAAGTGTGGAAATGAGCAAACATGATGAATGTGTATTCAGGTGATAGGGCARGAGGAGAGGAGATTAGCATAATTATCACCCCCAAAAACACCATATAAGGGTARGTTTCCTGCCTCACATACCAGGAAGTGTTCATTCATGAAAATAGCCGCYCAAAATAAAAAGAAATTCAGAGTTCAGAGATTGAAGTTCTGCTCTCAGAGATCCAGAAAAGAAAATCTGTCATTTTTAGCAGCATCAGCTGTGGAATTAAAGGACCAGCTAAAGCCAAGGACTGAATGATGACTGTTGTTAATGTTGTGTCTCCTGTGGGTCGTACAGTCACAGAAATAAAAATCTAAATCATATTTATCTTTCTCTAGTCCTGCTCCAGTTTTCCTTTGGTCAAATATTTTTAATTCAAGTGTAAACAACAGTGTTAAAGAAATAATTTTCATTTATTCAGAAGAAGAGCCACAGCAGAAATCACATAATTCAAAGTTTAAACAGGAACAGAAAGTTCTACTTTATAAGTCTAAACTGGCATTTCGGTACCCTTTAAAGGTTTTTTTACAGGCAGTTTTTAGCAGACAGTTAAAAACGTCCCACTAATTATAGAGCTATCTAAAAGTTTAAAGTCTTTTGCAAACTCTTCTTACCTCCACAACTTTTTTTCTTTATTTTTACATATACAGCACACTGCACAAAAAACTAAAAGGAACACTTTTAATTCGGACTATAATATCAAATCAGGTCAACCTCTGAGCTTATGAACAGGTAAAGTGAGGAGCAGAGGGGGATGTTCATCAGTGTCAGCTGCTTTAGTGTTAATGAAATTTACAACAGGTGCACRAAAGGTGCAACAATGAGACCACCCCAGAAAAACTAATGGTGCTGGAGACCACAGACATTTTTTCTGTCCTCATCCTTGTTGACTTGTTTTCAGCAGTTTTGAATTTGCTTGAGGGCACAGATTGTAGTGTGAAGCACTTTGAGTGTCCTGGATGGATAGAAAAGCGCTATATAAGTACAGTCCATTTACAGTCCATTTACCATTTACCATTTGAATTTGACCTGAGTCAGTGTCACTGCTGGTAGCATGAGGCAATACCTGGACCCTACAGAGCTGTAACAAGCTGTCCAAATCCATATCAATTTGTGCCATTGCCAGAAGGTTTGCTGTGTCTCTCAGCACAGTTTCAAGAGCTGGACAGGAGGCTGTTGAGYCCCCTGACCCAGCAGCAGGACCAGTATCTGATCACAAGGGCAAGGAAGAACAGGATGAGTAAACATTGTGCTGCGTGCAACGTTCCTCCAGCATGGCTGGTTTGGTGATGGGTCAGTAAAGGTGTTGGGAGACCACACAGACCACCATGTCCCAGCCAGAGGTACGCAGTAAATTTTGTAGTATTAAATCAACACTTAAAGAGTTAAATTTAACACTGTGTCCGAGTCTATTTGATCCTAATTGGAAATGATGTCAATTTAACTCTTCTCATAGTGTTAAAATTTCAGAGTACAATTCACCTCTAAACAGAGTTAAAAATTAACACTGACTACTGTACAGTGTTAATAAAGCTTAACACTTCAAGTCAAATAACTCTGATGAGAGTAAATTTGATTCTAAGCAGAGTTAATAAGGTACTCCACTGTGGTGACAAATCAACTCTGATTCTCATACTTTTCAACACTGCATTGAGTTATTGATGGTTAACACTTAGTGTTGCCACCTGTCCCGTATTGGCCGGGATGTCCCGTATTTTCAGCCTAATTGAAGTGTCCCGTACGGCACGCTCGTTTTCCTGTATTCTGAGCACAGCCTGTAATAACAATTCTGTGCTGTCAGTGCCCCTCAGCTCAGCCCTGCTGCTTAGAAGCGCTGCTGCCTGCCTGCTGCGAAACCTCCCCCTTGCCCCCTCCTTTCCTCTTCTCAGGCTTGCTCGCTGACACACAAAAGTGCAGAGAAACACACACACACACACACATGTGCGCGGCTGCCTACTTTAACAGCTGCCTCGTGCTCGCATTGAACGTTTAACTATTTCACCGGCTGAGCCCGCATAGTRGGTGCTGCCGCACCATCCTGCCATATCTATGCATCCAGCGACCGCACCGCCCTTGCAGGCTCAGCCGGTGAAATAGTTAAATGTTCAATGCTAGCAGGAGCAGCCCGGCCCAATTTGAAACAGATGTGAAAGGAGACTGGGTAAAAATGAAATTGAAATTGTTTGGATAAGCTTCTGCAATGTCACAAGARTTATTTCCATCCAGTGTTAATTTTTCACTACGATCTTGCATTGATGATGGTAGAGTCTGACTGCTGCACAAAGCCTTCTGCAGCACATCCCAAAGATTCTCAATGGACTCTGTGGAGTCAATCCATGTGTGAAAATGATGTCTCAATTCAATTCAATTCAGTTCAGTTCAGTTCAGTTCAGTTCAATTCAATTCAATTTCAAAAATACTTTACTGATCCCAGAGGGAAAGTAGATGTTGTTGTATCTCATTTAACTAAAGAGTTATTGTAGATGCTGGTTACCGTGAGCAGAAAAGATCTTCTGTAGTGGTCTGTATTACAACAAAATTGAAAAGCCTCTAACTGAACTCTGACAGTCTGATGAAGAGGATGGTCAGGGTTGTCCAAAATGTTCTTGATTTTATGTAAAATCCTTCTTTGCACCATCATCTCCAGAGATTCCACAGTCGTCCCCAGAACAGAA